GTCGGGGCAACGATGGACTCGACGGACGAAGCGGGGGAATGTACGACGATTAGTCGAAGCGTTCAATCGTCAGCGAATGCCCAGAGAGCTGCCAACGAATCGAATGTAGCTGGAATCACCTCCAGTCACACGTATTCTTATTATTGGCCGAATCGGTACACACACAATCGGATTGTGTGGTTGGCTATAATGTAACCATTGGTCGACGAGAGCGTCGCAGGCGAGTTACCGGGGCTCGAGCTTCGGAAAAAAATGTATTCACGAGGGTCAGAAGCGTTTCGCGTAGTCCACGATTATTGTTCCGGATCTGAGTTCGGGACAATAATCGCGAGGTCCCTCTATTATCAATCACTCATTCGAAAGTGAAATAATTTGTTTATAACGAATGTGCTTGAAACAGATTGAAAATAAAGGAAATTTTGTAAGCAGAAATGATATATAATCTTTGAAAATTAATAGTATAGCATGTCAGGTGTGTAGTTTTATTGTACGCGTTAAATAATGTATGTATTGAAAGAACAAATATAGCCGCCATCGATAAGTACGCAATCAAACATTCCAATCCAATTTTTTTTTTTAATTTTACACTGATCGAGAGTACAGCATTGGATTAATCTGATCAGTTGAATAGTACATTTTCAGGCTCCTCTGTCCGAAATTATTCGAGTTAAAGAACGTTTATTACTTACAAGGAAGGTTTCCCAACCCGGAGACGCTGATTTCAATGAAACTTTGTACGTTTGTTAAACAAGCAAAAATAAGGGACACGTATTTTTTTTATCGCCTAACATTCACTTTAAGGGGCTGGAACCACCGCTCAAAGTTTCGACACAGAAATACTATCTCGAAAACCGGAGGAGATACATGAAAACTTCTAATGGGCGAGTTTTATGGTTTTTCGTGTACAATAATATGGTGCTAAAAACTTGTCCAAAATACAATTTGTTTATAACAAAAAATGACGAGCGTTTCATTCCAAATCCATTGGTATATATACATATATTTATGAAATTACCTCCTATAGTTTTGCAAATTTTTATTATTATACATATATCCCGTGCGCACGCCCGCTGACAAGGAAGGTTTCTCGACCCACAGATTCTGATTATAATGAAACTTTGTGGGATTGTAGAGGGCATTCAGTTATCAAGGAGCCATTTTTTTCGGCTGACATTCACTCTAAGGGGATGAAATCACTTTGAGGGGAGGTTTCGCCTCCTTAAAGTGAATGTTAGCTAATAAAAAAAGGTGTCCCTTTTTTTGCTTGCTTAACAAACGTACGAAGTTTCATTGAAATCGACGTCTCCGAGTTGGGAAACCTTTCTTGTTAATTAACATCATGAATGTTCAAAGTGATCAGATTACACGACTCATCCGATATACGTGAAAATGTCGAACAATTAAAGTCTAGTACCTTAGAAATGATCTCTTTAGTCGGTGAACTTCTCAACCTGGTTTCTTTCGTTCGGAGATTATACGCAGAAGGTACTGGAATTAAGATTGACATTGGATTCCAGAAAGATTTAAATTTAATTTTTATTAGCGCCGTTTAGACGGCCACACATTTGAGGTTTAGATAGATTTTATTAACGAGATATAGTTTGTATTAATAGACAGATATGAATCTCTATTAACAGGAGAATTAAATCAATTATGTAAATAGCACACACATCCATTAATGCATTTGCGAGAGTGTAGTGGTTAACGAAATGCTTGGTCACGTGAATGTATGTAAGTACACTTAAACTGTGTAATAATGTATGTAGCATAAAAGTAAAGTGGCCTAAACAAGATCTATTATCCAATTAAACCACATTTTTAGATTATTATCAGCTAATAAATCATATAAAAAATTGCATGTATTCTACTTGATTCATTCAAATACGTCTAATACCCGCAAAATAAGATATGTAAATTTTTGTCTGTACTTCCCACTGCTTACCTTGTCTTGTGCACATATTGAGGTATACTACTTGTGTATTAAGTTGCTGAATCTATTGATTATTATAAAAAAAGGCTCAGATTACTAACCTAAAATTGAATCTGAAACTTATTTCGGGTTCATATCGATCCACGTTACAATTACATGGCACCACTATCGAAAAAGAGGTTAGAATCAATCCGATTAACTGCGGTGACAGTTACGCGTCGTTACCGCAGAGTTCAATTTACATTCAAAACGCGAAAATCTAAATATCCATCTGAAACTGAAAATTGCATATAACCCAGACGATTTTCATAACCACCGGTTCAAATGTTAGATAAATATTTGGTCTAGAAGAGAACGATTTTCAAATTGCACTGTGTGCGCCACCAGTAAAGGGATCTCTGGAAACAGCCACTGAGGATACTTTGTCACCGCGCAACAACCGCGCGGAATTACGTATGGTAAATGGAGTACTCGAGGAATAGATAGTCCAACAAGACGGGTTTCCCAGTGTCGAAGAGTATTTTATCGTGAACTCGCGTTTCCTGTATCCGGTCTCGTATCTGAATTCGTACAAGTGTGGAGCACCTGCGGTACGTGGTGAGATGCTCCCTTTTATGCGGAACGAAGCCATCTCGAGCGGAAGACTCTCGATTCGGGTTTATGTTCTAACGCGATTTCTTGCCATCTAGATGGAGATCATTAAGATATCGATTACTTAGTGATACTTATTGATATATTGATAATACCGTTAAGATATCAGCTTATCGATAGTATCGTTAATATGTATATCGATTAGTTATCGATAGTTATTGAAGTATCGATAATACATTAAGATATCGAAAACTTATTGATACTTGTTGACATATCGATAATATCTTTAATATATTCATAAGTTATCGATAAATATTGATGTATCGATATTGTTGTTAAGATATCGATAGTATCATTAAGATACCGATCACTTATTAATACTTATTGACATATCAATAATATCGTTAAGATACTGATAGCTTATCGATAGTTATTGATATATCCATAATATCGTTAAGATATCGATGTCTTATCGATAGTTATTGATATATCGATAATATCGTTAAGATAAGGCAAACATGAGTGATTACAATGCCATGCATTAATAGAATGGAACATATAATGAATTTATTATTCAGATCTATTTATTCTTATTCGAAAGTATTACAGAGAGCATATTACTGGATTTCGGCTGTAACCTCTTTGTCAGAAAGAATCTGTCATGTTTTAGAAAACAATTTTTCACTTGGACTAGAACTTGCTGATATAGATAAATATTTGACAGTCATAGTCATACGCTTTAGTGAAATTGTAGCTTCTTCTGTATTATATCACGTCACTGGATTACATTTTCCAATAATTACACTTGAGTTTAAATATCTGTAATAATGAATGTCATCTATTGTACACGTACACGTCATATAATTTATGTAATAAAACTTTAAATTGGATCCAACTTATAACTATCTTAACGATATTATCGATAACATTGCATTATTATCGATATCTATCGATAACGTTATCGTTAACAACACCTCTTAGCTCGAATCTTGGGGATATTGGCAGAATGGGGATATCGGGCGTGCAGCTTTAAGTTCATTGAAGTAAACTCGGCCAAGGGTTCCATTGGACACTTGAACTTCTGCGTTAATTAGTCAATTTAATCACCCCTTATTCGACAGGTTTGGTTCGACAACGCGGGACAGAATTGTACAAGGTACAAAAAATTGCTTGTCACAGCTCTCAAAGTGGTATTTATATGTATATTTGAATCGATGAACGTCGGCTAGAAAATTTAACGGAAAATTAATTTTAAAACCGAAATTGAAGATCGTATTCTTGTTGAATATTTATATAGTCTTTGCGGCGAAAGTTTCAGAAATTTAAATGTATTGTTCATCATTATGTATAATCAGTTCTACCAAATATTATCTAGTCAAATGGATACTCTCATTCGGAGAAATACTAAATACCCATTAAGAAAAATTCTGACGACTTTGACGAATAAGTTCTTTGCATATGTATATAGTGGAGACCAGAAAGAATTTATTAAAACGATTATGACATGATTTCTAGGAACAACATACAGTATAATGATTATTTGTTTGCTTACAATGTTTACATAATCATGGTTTGGTTTTTTGAATGGTTAAATATGTTGCTTAAGCAGCATAAAGTTTTCAGTTATCACAAGAATTCATATCACAAAGAGATTAAAACTACTCTAGCCAGAAAATTTTCTTCCGTTCTAGAAAAAAACTGAACTATACCTATTAATAGAAATCGTTAATTAATGCACCATTATCCCGTCTGTATGTACGAAAACTGCTATCAAACGATTGTTCATTTATTGTTACACACTATCTAATTTTCACTAAAAGCTTCTTTCACTCTGCCCACAATCAGTACTGTTCACGTCAAAGCTGTCAACACGTTAACTACAACAGTGAAAAGGGCCGTACGTAGCCAGACACACTTTATTTCGTTTATCAAGTCATAAATCGTCGAAAATATATGCGTTTAGTTAATAGTGACTGTTTATCTTGTTTGGAATTATATTTCGATATTAATTTTATGTAAAAATTTTGTAACGGCATTTGAATAATTCAGCCTCTTGACAACGTTTCCATTACGAGTTACCTTATAGTTGGCAGTGAACGTATTAAAAAGTGAAATCTTTCTTCCTTAAACACTTTCTTTAATTACAGACCCAATTAACCTAACATTCGTTGCTCGTAATTCATTTGCACGTATATTATAACAAGAGGCACGTATATACACCAAAGGCTGACTCGATCTAGAATCAAAAACGTTATACACCTCGAATAAAAAACAGACTATTGTCCATGAGGCGAAAAAAAAACCATTCTACCTCGGTGCTAACTGCGTCAGGTGTGTATATATAAGCTTCTCTGACGGTCCGCAAATAAAAACGCTTTCAGCCCACTTGACCCACCTTGTTAAAATCGCCCGTTCGCCTGGCAAAGATAAGGGGATCAATTACTCACTTTTTCTGCTAAGTCATCGTCGTGCTTTTCAGACAGCAGGACAATCCGAGCGCCGACCCGAAGGGCAGACGATGGAACAAAAGGGCCTTCCAGAGGCGGAGCAGCGAGGTCGAAGTCCATCTGCACCGCACATCCTTAATGGGATCCCAAGGTCACGCGGCCGTTGACGGACCGAAATCCCCGACCCCGTCCAGACGACGTAGTTCCAGCATAGCGGTGGCCAGGCCAACGCCGGATTTGCACAGGTAATTTCTTGATCTGTGTCTGTTGTTTTTATAATTATTTGTTGTTTCTTAACTTCTAATACACTCACCGATTTAGATATTGAACTACATTAATACAGATATATACATATATGTATATGCAGGTTGTCCCACCTAACTCTACCACCCTTAATTATTCTCTTATTTGTCACGGTACAAAAAAATGGTTCGGGAGAAGGTTAGTGCATTTTAGGGGGGAAATTGGGCTATGAGATTGAAGGTCATCTCGAGGTCATATCTTCTGAGATTTCTCTAATAGTAACGTTTTCTTAAATGGAATGCCCTGGTTTTTTATTTGCCATTACAAAGAGGAAATCAAAACGTATCCAACAATGCATCACACTATTACCTTAAAATGACCTTAGGCTAAAAATTGCGCACGCAATTGGTCGAGGTGGAAGCTCACAGAAAATGAATTGCAGAAATAAAATAAACCCCATAATTAGCAATTATTGTGGTATATTTTAATTCGAATTACACTAAATTACAAGCATTTCGTCCAAATTCAATTGTGCATCATAATGATAAGCGCGATATGTGCATATGCATGGCAAATAACATATGCATTCTTCAAAAAATACAAAATAAAGAATATATTCTTAGATCTTTCTAATCACAAAACCAATTTCTGAACCGGTTCCATTGCTTTATCTGTATTCTATAAAAATATATGCACTTGCATAAACATCCAAAGTTTAGTAATAATTCTTTGACGATAAATGTCTTTAACATTTTCAGTAGTAATACAATGAGTGATGCATTGAAAAAGGTCGTACGCAGCGAGACACACTTTATTTCGTTTTTTCAAATCATAAATCGTCAAAAATATATGCGTTTAGTTTATAGAGGCTGTTGGTCTGGGTTGAAATTATACTGCCACTTGCACTAGCCACTTTGCAATGCACGTGTCACCTATATTTGGATGACGTCGGAGTTAAAGAGTATTGATTGTATTAAGATTATTAATATTTAAGAGAATAATGTTTAAATTAACGTTTATAGCGTTGTCTGGTACTGTACTGTAACCCTCTGTAATCTATATTCACACTATATCGACTAGGAGGACCAGACGTGAAACTGTTCTGAATGAAAAAAGGAGCAAACGAAAGTTTAACAGAAACTCTAGCATCCAATTCAGTGGGTCAACTGATTCGCTAATAGTAATAACCCGTCCTATAGAGGTTTAAGGGGCTATAAACAGTAAATATATAAATGTTATATAATTATCAGACCGCGAGTTTTGATGCAAAATGAGAATTTACGTACCTAATTCATAAAGACACGAACAAAAGTAGGAATTTCTTTCTTCCCTTAAGTATCTTATCAATAGGTTAAGGATAATATGAAAGTTATGCCTTTTATTGTATATCACAGAGCCTTATGAGCTACAGAGACATAAAATCCGCAGTTTAATAACTATAATAAAAGTAATCATAATATTAATAGTATTACGCCCAGCTAGTTTCGAGAGTACATGTCACCAGTGGTTAGCTGTTTTTTGTCAAAAATTAAGTAATTATGATTTTTGCTATGGATGTAAAAAAATTCTTTTAAATTAAATTGGTCCACTCCCAGATAACACGTGAAGACGCCTATGTTACAGCTATTTTAGGCCTAAGGCGCCTTTCAGCCGTCTTGGAGACGTCATTGGGCATCGTGTGCTATCTACGCTGCGGAAAAAAAAGCATTGTCATTTGTTTGATAATAGTCAAACTATTATTTGACTTCAAAGTTACACTGGATGCTAGAGGGTTAACGAGAATAGAACTAATTCTTGAAGAAGAAAACTTATGAAAGACCTGATATTTACAAAATTAAAATAAGAGCATTACGTAACATTCATTCTGTTCTGTTTTCACGAGTTTAATGTTTTCTTTCGTCCGTATCGAATTGGTATTTGTATGCTAGACTATTGATCCATTTCTCTTACAGTTAATTTTGTAATATTCTGTTTGAAATTTTTAGAAATTATTTTTGAACTGTTGGAGACAGTACACTGATGGTTAAAAAGGAAAGAAATATATAATTTTTCGAATTGAAAATAATAGTGATGCTGCCAAATATATGATTCACGCAATCTTCTGAATAATATATTGCACTTGTTACTCTATTAAAGGTTAATTCATTTATTTACATGATCCACTAAACATTTTGTGGTGTTTGAAAACGGCCATTAAATCTGTCCAGTGGCGGTTACAATATAATTAATGTGAGATATTAACTTGACTCGTTTCATAACAATTCTAATATTATTCAGTGATTGAAACCAATTTTAGTTAATATAAATTCTACAATATAAACATTAAGATAATCAAATTGTATCTTAGTGTACTATGAAATATTAAGTATTACTGTTTATATAATGCTGATGTATGCAGAATTCAACTATTGCAAGTCAAGGACAACATTTCACATGATTTCTTTTTTCTTTTTCAAAGGAAAATAGTGGGACCTTTTTTACGTCAAAGTATCACACAGTTAAGTTTCTGCGTCAAATTTATCGCTGGGTAAAATTATTTTTTAATTCGAACTTTTTGTACGACAATATTTACACGGTTATTCACGTGATTACTCGTTCAATCACTTTTACGTGTAAAAAGAAGAAAGTTAAATTAGTTTGAAACTTTTAGAATTACTCGTACTTTCTTATGCAAATACTTCTCAAAGACCTTTCTATAAACATAGATTATAGCGGTATCGACATGAAAAACAGTTCCCCATTGTCTTATAAAAAGTTCTCGCGTAAGGTCTTTTTTACTTCCCTTAGCGTACTTTCTCGTCAGAAGGACTTTTTCTGACAATTGTCGGTCATTTTAATATATTAGAACTCCTAATACATCGTATGTACAAAGAAATGCAAGAGATTAGATTTTTAATGCTCATAATATTATACAAGTAATAGCTAGAAATAATATTTCTAGAGAAAAGTACTTAAATAAAGCAGTTTGTTCAATTTGGTAAATAGTTCCATTAATGTAAGCTAGAAAATGATTATTATTTTATTTATTATATCTACACATTTTCCATGAGTTTTCTTAGTTACTTTAGATATCAGTTAATGTATAACTACTTGATAGTTGACATTCAGTTAGTCGTAGTGTTATTTTTATTAAAGTACAAAATCCCAACCGTTGCTTCATTCACTCTTATTCTCAACTTTAATTTAATACTACGTAAATCAACACGTATTTAAACATGTTCATCTATTGTATATGTATGTATTATTTGAATATGCAATATTATACATAGTCCGCTCCCTAATTTCTTATTATTCCGATCTGTAACATACGAACGAGTTTCTTTAACACAGAGTGTCCAAATAGGTACAGTGCTGTACATTAACACCACACGTTACACTTTTTCCTACAGCAAATGTTGTAAAAGTCACACCCAGTAGAGTCTAGTCCACAGTAACTTTTAGGAGACTCTGCACAATATAATACAAAATGTAATGAGATTGTTTCTCTAAGAACATTTATTACCTTCGAAACCACAAATCAATATTATCCATCTCAAAATGGAAAGCTACATACAGCCTGAAACGTTGTTCCCGCTCTTGGAAACAGTGCTGGAAGTCGTCAACTGGAACTGCTTTCAGTTGTCCTGTCATAACCTTTTGAATGTTGCCCAAAATTCCAAATTAACTGATCTAAGATGATCCAAGAGTCACGTGAAGTCAGATCAATGGAGTGAAGGGTGCTGTGGACCTTCATGAATATCCACATTAGCCAAAAATTGGTTCACAGAGAGTAGACTGTGAAAGAAAGCGCTGCCACGATGCAGCATCCAAGAAATCTCTCTGCAAACGAGATTTTAATCAATAAGAGTATTTGTAGTAGTTCTATAGCCGCCCTTACTCTCTTGATCCGAGTCCACGTGACATCATCCCAGCATTACTAGGCAAATTCTCACACGAGGGAAACACATGATGTCACATTACCCCCATTGCCAGTCTACATACGTCATTTGCTCTCACTATCTATACCCTTTTCGTCCACTACCATCCGACATTTTCCTTGTTTGCCTTCGATCTGGTAACGCTGCTTCTACTTATTTCTAAAAATCAAAACCCATCGCAAGGAATCGTCATCTTGGATCTAAGGACAACATCCAAAAGCTTCTAACAAACCAACAGAACGCAGCTCCAGTGGAAGACATCCAACACTGTTTCCAGGAATGAAATAGGACTTCCAGCACTATTTCCAGCAATGGAAAGACCTCTAACGTTGTGAACGACTTGAAAAAAAAAATCTATTTCGAGAGACATATCAATTCGTAATTGAGGAGCCAATAAATATTGTTAGAGAACCAAGTCCCATTACTTTTTAGACACACCTCGCATAATACAATGCTATAACCATACTCCCTTCTGTGGATAATGTAGGTTTCTGCAAGCAGAGGCTGGCCCATGGGGTCACTTGTCGCCCTCGCCAAGGAGTCCCACAAGGACCCCAGCGATCAGTCCTGGGGCAGTGTCCTCCTCGTCACATTTAAGTCCAGGGGCCAGTCCAGGTGGACCGAGTCCAACCAGCCCGGCTGGACCAGCCGGTTCAACGTCTGGATCACGTGGCCCAGGACCGAGGCAATATCGTGGCAGGACCAGCAGCATGCCGGCGGTTCCACGGCACAGGGTGAGTAATTATTTACATGAGCCGCTTCCCACGGCCTTGATAATTTCCCGCTGTGCCCTACCTCCTCGTAGAATGTCTCTGCAATGCCTGGACAAAAGCTCTGTTCACTGAGAGGGGAAGCGATATTGGCAACGAAATTGGCCGACGTTTAACCCAGTCTCTGGCATTTACTCGATAAAAATTGGACTTTTGCCCTTTCTGATATTAACTCGCGCCAGAGTGACTTTTCGGCTTGTTCTTTTCGATATTTTGCAGTTTTATGAAATTCTGGGAAATACCAGTAAGCGACGAGTGTGTTTGCTTAAATATACCGTGTACTGGGAATATTTATTGCATCGGATGAATATTAAACGCGTTATCATTTATATACATCTTTCTTGTTATCGGTACAGCCTCTGATCATGGAATTAGGGCTATTCATAAGCTTCGACATCTTTTGTGTTTTCAATATAATTAAAAGGACTGAACGGAATTTAATTAGAACTGTTAACTATCAACATATTAGACACATGTTTACGTGTTAATGATTTACGGTGGGTAAAAAAAGTATTCGTACAACCCTTAAAACAGAACAACTCTTTCAAAATTGGACGAAATGACTTGAGTTTCTTTGTGAACATAGAAGGATTAGTGTACTAAATGATGTAACAGAATGTTGAAAAAGTTGCAATTGGTCGGAATCGCGAAGAAAATAGTAAAGGTCGCTTTTTGCGACGTTTGTATCTGAGATTGTAATTAAAATTTAAGGAATACATTGCTTAAATTTATGTTAGTTGTATGCATGCTACAAATTTCATCGAAATCGGTTAACGTTGTTATGAGATACAAACGGTTAAACATGTTGAAATTCGCAGTTTTTCGCGACTTTTGACCTGCAACTGTAGTATATCTAAAGATTCTTACATATTTCCAGTATTAACCGATTTCAATAAATTCGCATTATCTATACAATTGACATTAATCTTCGAAATGTATTTATTAAATTTTCATTACAGTCCAGACAAAAAGTTGTAAAAAACGATATTTATTATTATCTTCGACACTCTGAAAAGTCGCAAATTTTTCAAAATTGTTTTAACACGTCAATTAGTAAATTCATCCTTCTAACTTCATAAGGAAACTCAAGTCACTTGATCCAATATTGAAAGGGTTGTTCTGTTTTAAAGGGTGTACGAATACTTTTTTTACCCTCTGTATATATCATTATACATGATATCTCATTATTTATTACTATTGAGTATTTATTTTGAGAGCGATACAGTGCGTGACGGGCGATTGAGGATCGAGCAGATGTTTATGCTAGAGTATGAATACCAAGTGTAATGTGACTGTTAACTGTTAACTTACTGTTTGAAAAAATATATTTTAGATATTTGACGAAATAATCAAAACATAAAGAACAAGGTTTATACTACTGTTCAATAATAAACATGGCCGAAAATATGTCCTTTTTACGAAACATCACATTTTGTTTATACAGACCAGATGTCCTGATACTTACGAGCGATAGTGTATCAATTACATGAACAGAGTATGAGACTTTACAATTCTGTTCAGAATAGAGTAAAAGCATCGTTAAACTTTATGAAACTTTTTATTATATTAAATTGTGAACAATGGCACATGTCACAAATAGATCATATTTCCACGTTAATAAGAAGTTTTCGTCGTCTCTTTGATTTTTCTAAACCTGTGTCTGCCACAGAAGTGAAGTGACGAATGAATGACTCGTGTTAGATAGTTTCAAATCTTGCAAATTAGAGATGATAGAGACCTCGAAGTCATTAATGAAGGTTTAAACGGAAGGAAGAATCGAAAGACATTTTAGCTTGATAGGAATGATTATTGGCAAGTTGTCGATATTCAGGATGATAGTGAATGACAAGCCGGTATATTCTATGTTTAAGGGGATCTAACATTTAAACACCGTCTGCTTGCTAGTTAGAAACTGTTTTTAGATCTTACTAGCTAAAAATACAATACAAAGTAATGTTTAACAATCGTATCTTAATTCAAAGAATGGTTCAATAATAATTAATAAAAACTTATGTTATAGGAACTTTGGTTATTTATGAATCACACACTAAAAAACATTACCTTATTATTAGTGAAATTGAAAAATGAATTTAAAGCGCTGTTTCGTAACAGCATTTGGAAGTTTATTCTAATTTTCTACTTTGAACTATCCTCGATGTACTGATATTTTTTTATTTACACATATTCTACAAGTTAACTTCTTTTAATTACATCTCGCAATTAATATTTCTTAATATTACTCTGGAAAAATAGTCCTTTATTCTGTGACTAATTTAACATATAAATAACTGTCTATAACTTACATACATTGCAGTAAATATTCGATATCACGGTAAAAAAAACAATATAAGTTACAACTTGAAAGACAACTCCAAAGTTAATTAAGATATATATTCGTTTTCGGTTTCAGATTCGATTTGTTTAATCGATATATTCGTCGGCAAAAATTTCTGTTCTTTCCAGTCTACGAATTGTTTCTTCAGCTTCTTTATTAAGTAAACTGTGACATTAAGAAGCAACTATTCTCCGACTATTTCTCATTATTCTCCTCATTAGAAAAGCAGGTTGAGCACGACCCCGCTTCAAGTTCGCAAATTTTCATTCTCTGCTAGTGAAAAGCCTGGGCAAACTACTTCTTCGTTTACAATGGAAACACGCGTTTGCAACAAGATCAATAACGTTCCGGTTTCATTAATTTCCGGAACTGTTGCTGTTCCTACTCCGAAATGCTCGCTGCGTGATGCCCATCGAGAATTCGTCGTAACGCATTGTCGACGGGAGGTTTTATTAGAAACCTGTGAATTCGATTACATATTGCTTTTATTTCTCCCAGTGAAATAGTAACACTTCGCATAACCTCAGAAAAAAAGGAACCAAGAAAGGAAACTATTACAAAATATAAGAACCGCCTTTGTAATAATATATTATAAAGTAATTTAACATATCGTGTTCTTATTCAAATTATTATTTCATAATGGCATTTCTCATTATGCATATAATAACACAATATAAAAAGAGTATAAGGATATTTGTAACTTTTTTATACAGTAAAACTTAATGGCACATATGGAAATTAAAGAATACAATTTCTGTACGTATGGGAAGTTTTTTCACTTAATATTTACTTAATATTTACTTAATATTTACTTAATATTTACTTAATATTTACAAATATTTAAAGCGACAAAATTGCAACTTCTCTTAATATCAGGAGAAATTGCTAGTATCGTAGAATCAAGAAAGAAAAGTCAGTGTAGAATGTATAAAACAGTAGACTCTGAAAAAATGGTTATAAAATTATATTTCATATTATTACTTAAGAGAACGTTATTATACAAACTTATTTTCTTCATCATTTTATAACATTATACTTCGTATTATTACTGAAAAAAACGTTATTACAGAGAATTACCTTCTTTGTTACATATGTTACTAAATAAAACTCAAATATTATTGAAATCAGTATGTTTACGGCTCTCTCTCATACAATAAACTTCAACAAATTTTTTAATTCTTCTATTATTTACTCACAAACATTTTAAATGTAATTAATTAAAACTTATAGAAACTATGACGAAACTAGTGGAAAAAACCATAATTACAGTAATTAATATTCGACCATGTAAAGTGAGATATATTCAAACAAAAAGTCAATTAAAAGTCATAATTTAGATTGTATTTGAAATTGTGTCCCAAAATATCAGAAAGATCTACAGACGTCAGACTTTTCAAACAATGCTGCATACAAGTGCATAGATCACGTGGATGGCGTTTGATAGACACGTGGCATTAGTGATGCTAGCGAAGCACTAGCAATTCATAGCATGTGCCAGAGAGTTTCTTGAAACGTTCGCCGGCAATCCCGCGATGAGTCCGATCGCTCCGTGGTTATCAATCGTTCGAAAACTTTCAGCATGTGTCGAGAGATCGGAGAATACAGTGAAAAATTTGAATCTCCGAACTCAGGAAACTCGAATGATTTCCGAAGTAGGTACGTATCTCCACTCTGAGAAAATTGAAAATTATCAGATCGCTCACTGTCGTATTATCCGTCGTAAAATAATACGGATAACCCATTCAACCCTTGGACCAGTGTGGAATTGCGTAATGGATGTATGAAGAATTTTTCCAATCATATTTAACCGATTGTCGAGATGTACTTGAGATTATTTCTTTCTTCAATCAATACTATTAGATTGGATAGTTAAAAGTATAATTAACTTGTGTGATATATGAATGATTATTTATAAGAATTAAAATAAATATAACGTTGTGGAAATGGAGAATGTGTAGAATATAAATAGTCAGTTTAAATTCAATTTCTATTTCTAATTTAATAGAGTAGGGATAACTTGGGTCAGAAGATTCAAAAATATATAGCGAAATGTTATATTTGTCTTTAACATTAATTGATTTGTAAAATAATCTACAATATTTATTCATAAATTGATCTATTTTATTCCTACGAATCTCCTGATTTTCGAACGATCGCTTTTCCAACGCCATGTATATATTTTGAGAACAGGAATTTTTCCACTCCACGTTTTTACATTTCAACATATAATACCATATAATACAATATAACGTAATATAGTATAGTGTAAAATGTATAATAAGTTAAAAATCAACTGAAATTCCACTAAAAACACCTTTATAATTTCAGTAATTATTGTAAAAGAAAAAATCTGAAGTCCGTCATTTTGATAGATTTGGTAGTTCCGATGATACAGGAAGATTCTACATGCCAAAATAATACAAAAATCAAGAATAACAAAATTCCGTTGAAGGCTTTGTTTCCTAGTTATTAATTGTCGAAAATGCGAGTGAAATAGTCCTAGCGCGACTGATTGCCACTGTTGCCAGTGCGCGTTGTAAGTAGAATAACCCGTCGCGTCAGACATATTCACCCGGCATTTTAGACAATTAATAACTGAAAAACGAAGCCGTTAACGTAATTTCGTCAT